AAACTCAGACTCTCCCTCTGCCTGTGTGAGGGACCTAGGATGACTAGGGCTATAAGGTAGGGTCTTTAGCTCCAGGGCCTCTCCTGCCACCACCATCACCACCACCACCCCTCCCCCCAAATGGCCCCCACCCACGCGACGGGTTGTCCTAGTGCAGCGGGGCAGGGTGGCTCCTTACGCAGGTGGTGGGCGCAGCGCAGGTGGAAGGTGTCGCAGCCATGCACGTGGTGGTACAGAGTCTTCTCTATCAGGTCCTGAGGTTCGTACCCCGTCAGCTCCGCCACTCTGCGGAGAGCAGGAGAGCAATCCCTGCCGGATGAGCACCGGGTGCGGGGATGTCCCCACCCTCGACAGCCATCTCAGACCTGGCTGCCCACCCTCACTTCGCACTTCGGATCATCTGCAAAATGGGCTCATAAGGTCGACTGAAGAGCTCTCAGTCGATGAGCAGGGCTGCCCTCCCACTAAGGGTGACCCTTTCCCTCCCTGGTCGCACACCTGGAGTCCAAGAAGATGAGCTTCATGTCCAGGCTGGCGCGGAACATGAACATGTTGCTGTGCAGCTTGATCTCCGTGACGGCGCTGGGAGGGAGCGAGTGGCCCACGGCCACTAGGCCCACGTTCTGGTAGCAGCCGTCGAAGGGGGACATGTCCAAGCTGTACTGGCGGATCTTCAGGTAGCCGCTGCAGTGAATGACCTGAGGCGGATGGTCAGGGTGTGAGACTCAGCCACACTCAGGAAACAGCCCAAAAATGTGGGGAATGGATTGAAACATTTTGAGACTCTTCGGGCCCAAAAGCTTGTGGGTCACGCCCATGCATTGAAGGGGTCAAAATTATTGGTGCTCCATGGTGTCTCAAGGGAATGACTGTACTGCCCTACTGGGCTCACTTGGGAGCTTATAAAGACGCAGAGCCCTGAGCCCGGCCAACCCTAAATGCATCTGAAACGCGAAGGGGGCCCTGGAACCTGCATTCTGATGGTGCTTAATGTCATTAAGCAAGAGAACCGTGGATTCCACTAAAGCTCTGGTTCTTAACCTCTGGCGGGGGGTGGGGGGAGCACAATCTGAAGCTGTGAGTAAACTCTACAAATCTACCTTAGTTGCCCACCATTTCAGACGCTTTACGCATCCCTAAGGCCCATTATGTACCCCAGGTAAAGATCCCCAGCGGCCAGGCAGTATCTGTGCCCAGTGAGACGTACATAATTGCAAAAGGTAGTCCCCAGGTGTTCGCAAAGTTTAACGGCCCTCGCGGTGGGCCGGGCCCGTGACGCTTGGACCCGTGCGGAGTGGTCCTGGGGACGGGAACCTCCCTCTAGCGCCGCGCGCGCCCCTCGTCCTGCCCCTTCGCCCGCACCCGGCTGGGTGGCCGCGGCCGCCACGAGGCATGGATCTTCCCTCTCAGCCACGCACCTTGTAGCCGCCGCAGGTGAGGCCCGCGTTTCTCTTGGCCAAGACGCACTTCATCCTCAGGAAGAAGGAGCGTTCGATCTCGTACTCTGGGAGGGAGGAGCGGAGAGAGGCGCAGGACGTGAGAGAGGCGGCGCGGCGCCACGGTCCCTGCCGTGCTAACTGAGGAAGAGCTACAAGCCGACTGCCTTACCCTGGACGAAGTGAGAGTGGTAGGGCGGGTGGGCCGTGAGCACTGCGGTCATCTCGTCGTGGTCCGCCGGGTGTATGTACTCGTAAATGCTGTTCCCGGTCAGCTCTACCTGTAAAGAGGAGGGTATCACCGTCTCCGAGATGGTGGACTGCCCCGCGGAGGGGCTGGAAGATTGGGCGGGGGGGGGGTCCTGCAGGGCTATGAGGACTGGAGTCAGAGCTCTACAGTCCGCCCTGAGTTCTAATTCCAATTCTGCTGCCTGCTACCTACTGCAGCCTGTCTAAGCCTGGGTTTCCTTATCTGTGAGAAAAGAGAATGATAATAAAGATTACAGTAGTAGTAGTAGTAGCGCTAGTAGGAGTAGTAGCAGCAGCAGCTTCCTGGCAATGTTCTGATGAAGACATCGTGATATGTATGTTACCACCTCCCATGCTGTTTGGCTTATGGTAGTAACTCAAAAAGGTAGCCACTGTTTGGGCCTGGGGTGGAAGCTGAAGGCTACGTAGAGGAGGGAATAGGGTAAGTAGAGGAAGGGGGAGATCCAGACTTCCTGCCAGCTGAGATGTTTCCAGTCCCAGAAAACACATATAAAAGCTTTGGGAAAGCCCCATCCCCACCCCACCTCTTGCCTCCATCCCTGATTGTAAACACTGAAGGCTGGAGGTGTGGACCACTCACCTACCTGAGAAAGACCCAGGTGGACTGAGGCTGTCTCCGAGATGTACATGATCTTCCCATCTGGGGCCACCACAAAGATGAAGCCATCCAGGGTCTGGAGAGAGAGAGATAATTGAATAGAGAGCCCTCTGGGCCATTGGGAGAAATTGGAGGTGGGGGAACTGAAGGTAGAGATGTTCTGCTGCAAGCGCAGGGAGATGGAACAGAGAGGAGCTGACAAGAAATAAGGCAAAGAAAGGCAGCCACAAGAGTCCCTCTTCTGTTTACTCCAAATTTGTAAGCATGGGACATGCAGCACCCCAGGAGAGACCCAGAGGAAGTGGCGGATAAGGCTACTGCCCTCCGAGACTGAGGATCCACTGAAATGGACAAAGCAGACATATCTATAACATACGACTGAGGATCCACTGAAATGGACAAAGCAGACATATCTATAACATACACACAAACATTCTGGGGGAGGGGGTGGAAATCACAGCCTGCTATAGGTAGGTTAAGTTCTTGAGGTAATGGTAACTGAACGATCCAGGAGTCTCCTGTGTCAGTCTGGGAGGGGCCTGTAGTGAAAGCATCCTATAATGGAAAGAGTACTAGCAGGGTTTGGGAAATAGTAGGCACTGGGAGATGTGGAAGGGCCGGCAGTATGAAAAGTTTGTAGACAGAAGGCAGCTGGCCAGTGGCTCTGGAAAGAGTCCAGGAGAGGGGGATTTAGGAGATGAGAGGCTTTCCGGGCAGCAAGTCCATAGAGTAGTGCTATAGTGTGTATGTGTTTACACTGATGCGTCAAACTGACAGGCTCTCCATGAAGAAAAAGTCCTAGACTTTCACTGCTCCTTTAACTCTGTGAGTGGGCTTCAGTCCAGGCAGTGGAGCATAAGGGTGAATCAGATCCAGTGCCTAAGGAGCTGGAAATCCAAAAGGGACACCTGGCCTAAAGACAGATATGATGACCATACAGCTGAGTAGACAGTGCTGTGAGGGCCTGGAGGCTGAGTGGCTAGAGGCCTGGGGGAGAATTAGAGAGGCTTTAGAAGAGCTGTTTGAGCAGAGCCTTGAAGAGAAAGCTTGAATGGGAGAAGGGAGGAAAGGCACCCTAGGCAGAAGAAATGACACAGTGAAAGCAGGGACTGGGGGAGAGTGGATGTGGTGTATTCAGGCATGATGAGTTTGGTGTACCAGAGAGGAATTACACCAGTGCTGGATTTTTGGAGAGTTTGAGATGTCAGTCTGACGAATTCAGAGATGCTCCTGCAGGATTCAGGACTCTAACAGAGGTATCTAAGCAAGGGAAGAGCATGCTGAGGTATATTTTTTTCTGGCAGAATGTGGACAGTGACATATAGGAAGGAAGAGTTGAGATGAGGAGCTCAGAGATGGGCAAGCCTGAACTTGAGTGGTCACAAGGAGGACGAGGTAGGGGAGAGCCTAAGTCAAAGATGGTTCTGGCTATTGTGGAATTTATGGTGGCAGGAAGAGAAGCTGAGACTAACTTCAAGATCATTGAAAATTTAGGTAGGCACAGTAAATTTTTGCATGAGTGGAGTCTGGAGGAGGGAGATAGTGAATTCTTTTCTTCCATATGCTAAACTTCAGGTATATGCAGACTTCCATCTGGATGCATACAGTTGGCAGGAGGAAATAAAGGTCTGGAGCTCAGGAGGGGTGTCTAGACAAGAAACCAGCAGGTGGGGGATGAGGGGAGAGGGTCATGCAAATGTGGGGAAAGGAGTTGAGGTGGTGGTGTTGACTGAGACAACCCAGGAGGCCTTGAAGCTGTGAGAGGAGAAACAGAGCTGGAACCTTGGGGAAATGCCAGCACATACAGCCAGACAGCAGTGGGAAATCCAGAGGAAAAAGCAGAGAGGAAGAAGAATACAGGAAGGTGTGCTACTTTAGAGACTGAGGGAGAGGCAGGATGTCAGGTGAGCAATGTCACCTCCATCAGATCTTTTCCTGAATGTCACCTGCCCAGTGAGTTCCTCTGCAACCACCCCCATTTAAAATGGCATCACTCAAACACAGCCCTGCTCCTTGTTCTTCTTATTGTTCTCCTTGGCACCTACATCACCTGTTATACTATGCAGCAGCCCTGTCAAACCTCAGTGGGTTTGCAAGGCTGCTTTCCTTAGCATGTCAACTCCATGAAGGCAGGGCTTTCTGCCTGGCACACAGTGGGGCCTGCTATATTTGTGGAGTGAACGAGGTCAGGTAGGATAAGAGATGGGCATCTTATGCTGGATATCAAAATAGAATGGAGTCTGTGAAGAGCACCTGGGAGAGATGCCAGACTGCAGGGGTGTGGGAGTGAGGGGAGCAGGGTAAGTGATGGAAACAGAGGCTAGTTGTGTCCTGTGATGTTTGGGATGAAGATGAGGGGAAAGATTGGGCAAAAACTAGAAAGGGTGAGGGATTGCTTGGGTTTTATTCCCTTGTTTTTATTGGTGACAGAAGCTAGCTGGCAATGTGGAAAAATTTGGGAGGGGTTCAGTAGCTGAGAGACAACTATTGCAGGGTGTCCCTGAGAAAAGTGAGAGACAGCAGCTTTCTAGTTAAGTTTAGATATGTGGAGGCCAGGCCTGCTCACACAGGGTCTTTCTTTGCTCTGTGAGACTTTAGCCTCTGGGATTGAGGGAGGGATGGGGTAGTAATGGGACAGGAAAGGCCTCGGCACCACTGCCCTGAGATGCTGCTCATGCCTGGCCCAGGACCGGGAATCGGCTCAGATTCCCCAATGCCATGCTGCTCAGGTTCCAGGGTCCCACGTGAGAAGTCCAGGTGGACTTGAATAATAAGAATAAGGGGGTGCAGGGTGGGATATAAGAGTCAAGCCTAAAAATGCCATCGGGAGTCTTACTATTTTAAATATTTGCTAGGCGACTTAAGCGGGCAACGGGCAATTTAAAACGGTGTACACTGCAAACAACGCGGTGATGGGCGCCTGCACATTGGATGAACTCATTACCTGGGGAGGTGTATGTGTGTATGCCAGGGTCTGTGCACAGCCTGGGGGCGCCTGGGGTGAGGGCGTGTGGAGAGAGAGGAGGGAGCTGGGAACTACAGGGAAGAGATGAAACGAGTTGCAGACGTAGTAGACGCAGCAGACGCAGCTGGATCCGGAATGTGCAGGCTTAAAGCATTGACGGGCATTTCTACCAGATTCCCGTTATTTCCTGGATAAATCCTGCATTTCGGATTGTTTTGCAGCCTGGCCTCGGCAGCTTGGCCCGGGGAGCTCCGGTTCCCTCAGCCGAATGGTGTCAGATGGCGCCCCCTCCCTCGGTTTAGCCATCATGATTGGGGACTTGCCAGGCTCCCTTCCAAACCCAATGGGCCAATTGTCACCTTGTCACCCTCTCTGCTTCGCGAGGCACCGTCGGCATCTATCGAGGTTAAGAGCTAAACATTTTAACTTTATAAGGAGTTATAGGGACTGCGAGATGGCCGCCATCGGACCGGATCCTATTTTCTGGGGAACTGGAAGCCTGGCTCCGGCCGGCACCCGGGTCCTTGAAGCACATGCGCTGCCGCGAGGCCCGCGTCAGTACCTGGAGCAGATGCGAACCCAGTTCGCGGCCAACGTTATCCAAGGGGCTGGTCCTACTCGAGTGGCCCCACGCCTCGCCGAGCCCTGTGGAGACACAGAGACATCCTTAAAAGCCGCACTCCGAGCCGGCTGGCAGTTTGAGACTAGTTTCGCGGTTGTGTCACACACGCAAGCTTGCGCACACGACAGATACCGTCCCGGCTCCCTCCCCACCTGGACAGCGAGTCGGGTGCGGATGAATGCTGGCCACGCCCTCTCAGCTTCTAAAGGTTTGAGCAAAGGTCAGACTCCCTCTTCCTCTGCTGGACGGGCTCGGCTTCTCGGAAGGGCAGCGCCCTGGCTGAGCGCCCCCCTGCAGGACCCCAAGTAACCGAGTTTGGGCTCAGCCTTTGCCCAGAGGGGCCCCGACACCGCACGACAGCGGTAACTTTTGCGTAGGTTCACCAGTGTGCTTAGAAGGGAGAAGGACACTACTTCTCACCCCAAGTTTCATCGTCATCCTTATCACGAGGCCGAGGGTGTCCACACAAGCAGCTAATGCCGCTGTCAGCCCAGAGCCACCTGAAGCAGCAGGCCGAGTCCAGCTCATACCTGGAGGGCTTTCTGATTGGCTGCGGGGTTCTCCAGCCATTTTCCTCGCCTCGACCTCTGACTTTAATCCCCTTTTGGAAAATCTGTTTGCTTGCGGATGACTCCCAGCATCAACATCACTGCGCAATCCTTCCTCTGCCTTTCCTCTCCTCCTCACACATCCTAACCTCACCGCCCTCCTCCCATCAAAAAAGAACCTTCCAAGGGCTTTTGTGCAAATCACTTGCTTTCAGGCGCTAACACCGTCTTACTAATATTTTCGTTCTCTTTTGGAAATACAGAATTATTTAGTTTCTCTGCTATCCGGGTATCATCTATTAACAAAGACTGCCCCTTCCTCTCCTTGATGTTACCACGTTAAGATCTTTCCAGGCTTTGCCACAAATCATTTCTCTGGTGATGCCTAAAACCCACCCCACCTCCCAGGATACCCGTGGCTGATTTTTTTAAATTAATACGGAATGTGCTATAGTACATTTTTGCCGAGAGAAAATGAAAAATAAGGCAGAAGAAACTGGCGGAGACCAAGGTTATACTACTTATGGGTAATAATATCTTTTAACAGTGTTGCTGCTGAAATTAATTTAACTAGGTAGTTAAACTCTTTTATGCTTACACCATTAAAGCAAGGTTTAACATAACAAAAAAGGAGGGTGATGTACTGATTTACTGCATTATGGGACAAATCACTATGAAGTACCCAATGACAAACACTTGCATTGTAATATGGGGGTGGGGGCGGATCTTTCTGAATAAAACACGGAGTTGGACTCTTAAAATGTGTTGGCCAGGATCTGCTTCTTAAGCAAGCGTTCAAAACCCTGGTAACGAGTAAACGTGAGCGCCTCTTAAGCTCGGATCGGGTCTTCCTGGGTGTTTGCACATCTAAATAAATCTAACGATTTCCCCACCGCTCTGCAAACAGTGATGCCCCCCGCCCTCGTCCGGACTCCTCTCCCTCCCTGCCGTCTCGGCAACCCCTCCTGATTCTTTAGCCCGCCCCAGTTTCCCTCCCCAGAGTGACACCACTGCCCTGATCCCTGTGGTCCTCCAGGACCCTTCGGGAGGCCTCCGACACGGCCGCCTGTACACACCCCTTCGCCTTGTCACCTTCCCTTCGCTCCTCCCGTCTCAGTCAAGCCATCCTCCAAGGTTGCTGGCGGGATCTGTTCATGTTTTCATCCCCGACCACACATACCCACCCAGAGGAAGTGGCGAGAGGGGTTAGTCGGCGAGGCCGCACAGGGGGAAGGGGAAAGGATCCTGGTGGGAGAGCCGGGGACGCGGGTGGCGCTGGCACTCGGATGCCGCGGGCCCAGCCGAAGCCTGAAAGCCCAAAGCTTCCCGGGGTCGAGAGGCCGGGCGTTCAGGGGTGCCGGGAGCTGGCCGAGGCCGCGTCGCGTCTGGAATCGCGTCTTCCGCAGCTCCCTGAAGGATGCAAGGCCTGCGCTTGGAGTCAACAAACGTCTTTGTTCTAAGATTATGAAGGTCCTCCAAAGCATCTGGAGACGCCCAAAAGCCGCCTCCCAACTCGAATTATCTGAAAGTCCCCTAAATTCGACTCGAGGCTAAGTACTGTTTCGAACTCTCGGCGCCAGCCTCGGCTGGTTGTGGTCTCGGGTTGCAGCCTCATTAGAATGCGCCTACGAAGGGAAAGTAAGACTTCTCGGCAGGTTAATAAACAGCTGGGCCGGGCGCAGGTTAACAGGGGCCTCCCCCGCCCTCTCCTGTACCCCACCCCCACACTTTTTAAGGAACCTTTTGCTCTCACGGAGCACTGCCTTCTCTTATGTTCCCGGTTGAAGTCTCCGTCACACGGTTACGTCTGGGTTAATGTTTTATACGGGACTGGCTGCCCTCGTCTACCTGTCGGGCTTTCCTGACCTAATGCCAGGGCCGAGCTCGCCCTTCAGCCTGCCCAGGACACCGCTGAAGCCCCGGTCACGGGTTCCACCTCCCGAAAACCCTGGAGTGGGTCAGAGACCCCTTCCCTGGACCCCCTCACCTTCTGCCTGCGGTGACGCGCTCCCGCACCCAATTGCAGTTAGCGAGGGGGGTAAGCTGAGATTCCGTTTCTGCACTTGACCTACCGCAGAAAATTCGCAAATCCTTTGATTGTCTGCTTAAAATGAGGAGGAAACCAGCTCCTTTTGGGGCAGGATTACAGTGGGAACAAGATCTAAAGATTCTCTTGTAATTCGGTGAGGCTGAGGGAACGGGGTTTTGCAAAGGAGAAAAGGAGCTCTGTGAGGGAGGCGATAACTAAATCGGGTTTTAGACAAAAGGATTTTCCCCAGCTAAAGTGGCCGAAAACCAAGGAAAACATAATCTATTTTGGAAGATTTCCAAGATATGCCACATTAACCTTAGCAGATAAATTTTGCTTCTCCCCTCCCCCCTTCCCTTAAGGTCTGGTTTATCATATTTACATAAGTAGTATTAGAAGGGATGTATCTATTATGGATCTAAAGGGCTAGCTCACATTTCATGAGAAACCCCGGGCGAAGTTTCACTGTTGCTTTACCCTCCGTGCGCGGTTGAGCCATTTCCATTTAAATACCCCCTGACCCAAGGATTACCTCAATGGACTGACTGCACGGGTTTTGTAATTTCCTGAAAATGAGATTTCGATTTATAAAACAAGAAACCAATTAGTAACCAAATGAGGCGAAGTAGATCCACTAAAATTGACCTAATCCCACAGGCACAATTTAGGCCCGTTCTTGGCGAATGAATGATGAGCCCCAGTCTAGCGTGAGCTCAAAGCATCATCCAGCTGTGTTATTGCAAGCAGCAAAAATAAATTGATCGAGCTTTTCCTTCGGAATGAATTTCATACCCTTGACAAAATATAGATTACAGACCCGGCGTCATCGCCTCCTTCACTCAGACAGGAAGAGGAGGAGGAGGACAGCTTGTTCTACTGGGGTTTTTTCCCCTCTTCCTTTAACAAATAAGAACTATATCTCAATACAAAGGTGTCCTCCTTATAGTCGGTTTTCGGGCACCTTCATCTCTTGGATGGATCACAATACGCCTATCAATGTGGGGTTGCTGGGGCAGCTGTCCCATAACCCGACCACAACTTGGTGACTGAGGCGGGGAAAGCCCTCCGAGACCGCGATCCCACCTTCGGGTCCCGGGGGAACTTGTCTCAGCCACTTGGTTTTTCCACAGGGCCTAAGCTGAGAACCCACTGTCTAAATCTTTCCCCAGCCCAACCACCTAGCTGCCTTCGTATTAGGGCTCCGGAAGCCCCAGCGGCTAGGCTCTCTGGGGAAGAGACGGACGGAGATCCAGCGCGCTTAGCCGAGACCGAGCGCCTGCGGCGGTCACTGGACAGAAGGCGGCTTCACGCACCAAGGCGCACCCACCCCCGCCTCTCGCACTCGGGCGCCGCCTTCTCCGCCACCTGGCGGGTGTGGCCGATCCTCCGAAGGCGTCGGTGGCCGCGCGGGGCCGGACTTGGTCCCGCGCAGCAGCCTGGTCCCCACAGTGCGTGTGTGCTCTGCCCCCACCCCGCCTCTGAGACCCCCAGCCGCACCCAGGGGATCCGCTAATGTTACTGCAAATCTGGGGTGGAGATCGATGGTCACAGCGCTGACTCTCGGCGCCCTAGTCGTGCTCCAACCTCGCTTCCGGGGCCGGGCCAAGCCTGCTGACCAGGCTGGCTGTTGGCACCCGAGCCCGCAGCGAGAGAACACGAACTGCGGGAAATGGGGTCAGGCGGGGTTCGGCCAGGTCCCAAATAAACCATGGGACGAAAATGCACGAGGGGTTGAAAATAGTGCTTGCGTGGCGGCCAAGAGCGTCAAGCGATGTCGCCCCAAGACTCTGGACCTTCGAGGGTAGCCGGGCGGGCAGTTGCCACCCGCCCCGAAGGCAGGAGCGGGCGTATCCCGCTTGGGTTCTTCTTGGCGGCCGGGACTCGACAGCCGCAGGACGGCCCCTTGGGCGGGATCTCGGTTAAAACGAAGAAGAGTCCTCCTGGCAGTGGCCCGCGCGGCACGGAGGACGGCGGGCCCACAACCGCGCCCGCCTGGCCCCTGCTCAGGGCAGGCGGGCCACGACGTCCTCGCACCCGGGAGGGCAGAGACCTTGGCCCGCGCGGGGAGTGAGGAGACATCGCGCGGAGGCCTGGAGCCGGCGCACCCTCAGCTGCGGCCACCCGAGCGTGGGCGGGCGGGTCGCCGGCCGCCGCCGCCAGGAGAGAATGGGACGCACCGCGCGGACTGGCCGGCCGGCCTTGGCCTGCATGCTCCTCCCGGGTGCGTGCTGCGGGCGGTGCGGGAGGCGCGGCAGGGGCTTTGACACTGCCGCTGTTCCCGGTCTGGTCCGAGCCACCGAGGTCGGGTGACTCCACGCAGGAGCCGCCTGCCAGATGGGGCTATCTGAGGAACAAAGTTTGCTTCTTAATTCCCAGATACTGTTTTAGTGTTTTCTGATTAGCAGGCCCATTACTAAATAATTGAGGGTTCCCCGCCATCACGTAAAAATTTTAATTCCATGGATCGGAGACTGGCAATGGGTGAACAGCTAAAATCATAAGGTTTTAGCTGGGTCTAAACTCCATTCTCTTGAGACAGATTCTCTGAGCTGACAGAGAAATGAGGCAAGAATCCATAGGCTCGAATTCTGTGTCTGCCTTTGTGTCTGCAAAAGCTCGAAGCTGCCAAGATTTCCCCAGAATTTAAAAAGAACTTCTCTAGAAATCAGATTTGTCCTCTGGAAATTTAACCTGATTTTTGCTTCAGATGGGTGTGATTGTACCCAGCTTAAAAGCATGCTGCCATAGCTTATGATATCTAGGTTTTACAGTTGTTTCTTTGTTATTGTTTTCATTAGTGATAATTCCCTTTTTAAAAAAAAGTTTTTTTCATTGATCTGTTCTACAGTTTCTAGCACATAAATCTACCTTGCAAATACTCTGCATGAGTTTAGTTCTGCAGTCTACATTTCAAGTCAGCATCAAAACTGGAATTAAACAGAGAAAACCAGCATGGAGCGTAAACTGTGCTTAAAGTCTTTTAAATGAGAAAAACTTCTGTAAGAAAATAAACATGGAAACCTAATGCTCAATCATTTCCCCAAGCAGCAAGAAAAACAGCCTTAAATCACCCATCCACGTGGGAAATGGGGCCTCTTTTTCTCTTTCAGTTCTCAGCCTCAAAAAATAGAAGGTGATTAAGGATTTCAATCTTGAGGTGAATATAATAGAAAGGGTCTGTATAGGTTTGTTTAATCATCCTGTCCTTCCAGTCTTTGTAGAGACTCTTTCCTGCACAGTTACTAATTTCAATTCTGTCATTATTTTTATTTTCCCAAGATATCTTGACAATGAAATGGTAGTGATGTTACCAAGATTCTGAATGGCTATAGATTTGAAAATATCTGATCTTTTCAAAGGCTATTCTGTGAGCCACTACACCCCCAGCCAAAACTGTATTATATCTGGATAACAAATACATATTTTTAGTTGAGTTTGTTCTATTTGTACACAAATAAAGTCTCAGCATCTCGTTTTTTATCCCGCCTTTCTGGTTTGGATGACACTAAAGACATATATTTCTAGATGCCTCAATTATTCCTTTGTAAGTCTATTTAGAATAGAATATGTTACCACTTGGGAGATATGTAGTTTTAATGATTTCACAGCAATTGTCCCAGAGTTTTGGGTTTTGTTATTATTAAATTTCCAATCTAATGCTTTATTCTTAATTATTTCAAGTGCCCATATTCTACTTGTCTGTTCTCTCTCTCTCTCATTTTCCCCTCAACAGCTCAATTTTATCTACTCAGATAAATAAAAGCTGAAGTTTGCTCGAAGACCAGGAATCTACTAGACCCCGGGGAGAGGGGCAGATTGTATTCAGCAACTGAGGAGGGAGGCAATTAGCTGTATTTTAAAATTTTTAAAATTTTTTCAAATGTAGGTATAGAAGGATTTCTGTTTGTTGAGTTAAACCTTTTGTCATTACCGGGTATTATAGATAAAATGTAATATGAGCAAAAACAGTGTTGTTTTACAGCATTGTTATGGCTATAAGTAAGATGTCATCAGATTTAGAATTATTTTAGA